TTTCGGATTCAAGGCTTCCAGAATATGGTAGCGGTAGCAAAAGCTGACACTACCGTAGCAGTCACAGACGATGGATGATGTTGGCACATCAAACCCTACCTGGAGGATCCAAGGACATAGACTTTTTCGCACTTGGCACCAGAAGGAGAGTAGGTGATTCTACATGCAGCCCTGCTTACTTCTACTTCTCTGTGTTCCCCGGTCTCAGTTTTGGATCCACGAACTTGGAGAACCCAAGCACAGTTGCGGTAAAGGAATGTCGGAAGGGCCTCCGCCGAGGCAGCAGGTCGTTCGGCCTGGGGCTTCGGTAGTAAGTCCTAGCCTTCAGTCAATTTGGATGGTAATAACCGACGCTCATGAAAGGATTTAGGGCGTAGGCTTTAGGGCTTAAGGTTAAAAGGCAGTAGCCGATGCTCATGATAGCAGCTTAAGTCAAACTTGCAAGTCACGGATGAGAATAGCAACATTATGGGTTTCAAAGACCATGGTCTGCCTCCTTAGGGAGGCCTTGTGCAACTCTAAACCATGCAACACCCCTCTAAAGCCTTGATACAACACGGGATTCCGGGGGCGATTGAGTAAGACTGAGAAATCCAGTTGACACAAACGTCATGATGTCCATTCAATATCCGTGTGCCGAGCGACTTCTGGGTCTTTCTGATTGCGTAAGCGCGGACAAGTTGCACAAATCAGTGACCCTTCTCGAGTTCCCGAAACGAACTGAACTTCACTCTTTCCCCTTAACTATTATTTAGAGAACTGTTGGTAGTGGTGGCAAAAGCCTTAGGGCACATCAAGTCTGACTTCTCTAGTGATTCTAGGCACCGCTGACACTACCGTAGCAGTCACAGACGATGATGTTAGCACATCAAACCCTACCTGGAGGATCCAAGGACATAGACTTTTTCGCACTTGGCACCAGAAGGAGAGTAGGTGATTCTACATGCAGCCCTGCTTACTTCTACTTCTCTGTGTTCCCGGTCTCAGTTATGGATCCTCGAACTTGGAGAACCCAAGCA